CTGCAAGGGGCCCGGGCCAGCCTGAGAACGCTGCCCAGTGCGTGGACGCCGCCAGCCAGGCAGGCCCGGCCGGCTGCGTGACCGGGCTGACGGGCTCTGCCCTTAGATGTATGGGCGGCAGGAGGACGGCAGTGTGGACGAGGACGCCCTGTCCAGCATCCTCAAGACAGCCCTGGGGGTGGCCGAGCTCCCCGTGACCCGCCTGTTCCGGGCCATCGACGAGGAGGACAGAGGGCGGGTCACGTTCGGTGAGTGCCGGGGGCCTCAGCGGGGCTGGCCGGGACACGCAGGCCCGTGGACCCTGCTCTCTGGTCGCTCGTGGCACCCAGCAGGAAGGTGGGCGGCGGCGGACGACCCAGACCTCGCTGGGAGCCGGCTGGCCACAGGTGGCTTGTGTGTCCAGGGGCGGGGACCCTGCTGAGGTGGGGGTGGCCCGGGCGCCCCCAGGACTCAGAGGCGGTGTCTGGGCATGGGTGCCAGGCTGCCTGGGGGGTCCCCAGCACAGGCCCCAACTAAGTGAGTGCCAGCACCCCACGTCTCAGCCCTAGGGCAATGGGCTGGTCACCCCTTGGGGCAGTGGGAGACCCCTGCTCCCCGGGGAGTGGACCCCAGGCCGGAGTTTAGTCACCAAAGGTGCCTTTGTCCTCACAGATGACTTCGCCAGTTTTGCAGAGATGCACCCCGACTTTGCTGAGGAGTACCTGTACCCCACCCAGACGCATTTTGAGAGCAGCTCACAGACGCCACCCCCCGCCCCAACCCCCAACGGCTTCTGTGCTGACTTCAGCCCCGAAAACTCGGACACCGGGGGTCCACCCCTCAGCAAGAAGCTGGACTAGGAGGGGCCTGCGGCGCCCCAACTGCGTGAGCCGGCGCACGCCTGCGTGGGCGCCCCACGGGCCCCCTGGCCACCGGCCGGCTGCCCACAGGGTCCGGCCAGGCCCCCTGAGCCACCGCCACAGCCGCGTGTCCCTCTGGCCGGGGCTGTGGTTTTTAAACGTTTCTACATTTGTGGGCGCGCGTGAGTATTTTATAAACTTCATTTAGATACTTCGGGGAAAATCCAGCATTTTTTTTAGAATGAAAATTTTTTCTACTTCCTTTCTCCTCTGAGGGCCGGACGATTCTATTCTGGGCCTCCGTCAGCGGCGCGGAGGCCGGGGGCCCCCGCCCCGACGCCTTTTCCGCGTCCGGACCCTGCCCTGGGCCTGCGTAGGCCTCGCGGCCCGGTGTCCACTCTGCGTGACCGGCCTGCGCCGCTGTCAGGGCTGAGGGGCAGTGCCCCTGCCTTGCTGGGCTGACTGCGGTGAGTCTGGGCAGCGTCACCTGCTCTGGGGGCCCCGGGGCAGGCGACTGGCCCCAGCCTCGCGCGGCACAGATGTGGCCGCTGGGGGCCCCGCCCCCACGGCAGCCGGGGCCCCCGGGCACAGTGTCCTGTGTCCCTCCGAGGGTCCTTTCTTGCACTTGGGGCGACTGAGTGACCCCCCAGCAGGGCCCCGGCCGGCACCCAGCGGGCCTGCCAGGCAAGCAGGTCAGAGGCCGCCCGGGCCGCCGGCGCTCGCGGAGAGCCCCCGAGGGCGCGGGCGGGCGGACAGGCCAGGATGTTCCGAGGGCAGCGCCGGGCCGCACGTGACGGGCTTTCCCTGAAATGCCGCCCCGCGTCTCCAGACGAGCCTCTGATAGCAGACGGAACGGATGTCTGTCCTCCC